GAACAGACATGGGGGTCCAGCTGCATGATCCCTCCAGTAGAGCAATGGTTTCTCAACCTTGGCAACCTTAAGATGTGTGTACAAAACTAACTTTGCTGGCTGGGGAATTCTGGGAATTGAAGTCCACACATCTCAAAGTCACCAAGGTTGAGGAACACTGGGTAAGTCGAGGATTTGAGGTACTAGTGTAAGTATATTCAGGGCTAGGTCAATAGTTTAGGTCTGGTCTCAAGATTGGAAGTGCTACTTCCGGTTTGCAGGGCTTCGGCGGCAGGCAGGAATCCGCGATCGTGCGCGGTTTCTGCCTGGGCTCGCCGCTGGAGCGCCCCGAGCCAGCTGGCTTCGGGGCTAAGCCACCCCGTAGAGGTGGTGAAGACGGGGGAGATCCAGCAGGGTCGAGGGGAGCCGCATCTCTCCTCCTCAGCTGGCTAAACTCCCTTTCCCGAAGGCGGTAAGAGCGGCGGTCAGAAATGGCCGCCTCAAAGAAGCACTCAGCCGGAAAAGAAAGTGCAGGAGGAAGTTAAGAAGTGAAAGTTTTTGGCTGACCAGGACAAAAAGTAACAACCAAAGTACCCTGGAATTTAAATTTTGCAAAAGATACATCGCTCCCAAAGAAGAGTCGAAAGCAGCGAACGAAAGTGAAAAGGGAAAGTTTTTTTTTCCTTCACTCTCCTTCCTCACGCTGATAACGAGAAGATCTGAATAAAGAAATCGGAAAAATCTGCTTTGGCACCAACAGGTAATTAAACTGGAAATATAATTATTGCCAAAGGGACAATAAAGATTTCTGAACACTAAAAAATTCTTTTTTTTGCTATAAGTGGGAAGGGAGAGGAAAAGAATAAGGGCAGGACTTGGAAGGAGGAGACTGCTTGGAATTCAAAAGAATTTAAAGTTAAATCTTAACAAGACTTCTAAAGGATACATTTTAACTGGAACTTTGCAACTAAATAGTAACCCCAAGAAGAGAAAGTGAAAAAAGAAGAAAGTGTTAAAAGAAACAGCTTGTGTGTATTTGGATTGTTTGGTGATTTTGAGACTTTTGGAAATCATATTTGAAGGACTAAAAACAATTGGGTGGTTGTTTTAAAAAAAACACTCTACAATGGCATCACCTCTGGATGAACTGAATGAACTGGATAAACTGAAAATCGAATTTAAAAAATATAAAGAAGAGGAACAAGAAGGGAAGGGCTCCTTTGGCTCCATTTTTCAATTCTTAGAAATGGCGATTGGTGTCTACAAGAAACAACAAGAAAAGACTGCGCAACAAGAAGATTGGGACAAAGAAGAAGCCATTTTTAATGAACAAGTAATTCTATCTGGGGAAGAAAAGGGAAAGGGGGGAAAGAGAATGGAGAATCTAAGACCTAAAAAAACAGCCAAAAAAGGGAAAAATAATGTGAAAAGGGGATATAATGTTGGAAAACAACAGAAAAGGGGAATACAGAAGAGGGAAATGGAGGTGGAGAGACAGGGGGGTAAAAGGGGGAGAGAGAAGGAAGGGAAGAGAAGTTTAAAAGGTCTGGAGCAAGATCTAAAGAAACAGGATTTATTCAGAGATAATGGGTGAAAATTTAACTGAAAAAGGGATTCTGTAAAGGTACATAAGATTGTATTGTTATATTTGTAATAGAAATAATGTTAGAAAATTGGAAACAACATATGATTTAAAAGTGGAATAAAATAGTTAGTGTAATTTAGTGAAACTTTTGTGAACAAAATAAATGAAATGAAATAAATGAGAGAATTGAATTAGGAAGGAATGGGAACATTTTATCTACTCAACGTTTTATAAAATATAAGTGAAGTGGGAGGGAAGTAATTATGGAAAGTTTATAAGTGTTTCCATAGAAGTATGATACTTATTTGAAAAGTAATGTGTAAAATGTTTAAGATTTAAATGAATATTAATATTAATGATAGAATCGAATTGGTATGGATTGTTGCTTTAATTATGTTATATATATATATATATATTTTAAATACATCATGTAGTTTTAGAATGTACCAAGCAGAATCCGAACGGAAGTTATGTATTATATTAAGTGTTATAATTTTAGGGGAAAGATATAAAGGCGTCATACTCCAATCAGTGATCACAGGAGAAATTTTGTTTAATGAGAAAAGATAATAGACAGCTGAAATAGGACAGACAAAGAATATAAGTATGATGATTTGAATTGAGATGAAATAAATAAAATAAAATTAAGGAAGTTGAAAGAGGGGAGAAGTTATATAGAAAATGTAGAATGGTAATAAGATATGGAATGGAATATAAAAATGAGCATGAATTTGAATTTGTGTCTGCACGAAGAGATGTAACCCGGGATCAGGCTACTTTCAAAAAAGATGTTTTATGTTTTTATGTTCTATGTTTTGTTTGTTTGTTTTTAAAAATCAATAAAATTTTCAAAAAAAAAGTTTTGGAAGTGCTGAAAGAGACCACAATGTTCTTCCTTAAGCCTGGTGAGAAGCTGAGTGAACCTAACATTTCTAACAGCTCCAACTCCGGCTTCAAGTGGACACTCTTACTATTCCTCCACGCAACTAGGCTGCCGTACACAAACAATGCACACAACTCGGCATACCGTGACAAACAATGTTCCTCCAGACATGGCTGAGCTGCAATTTACCATGCAGGCTAGAATGAGGGACTTTCCTTGCAGCCCAAGGAGGTTAAAAACGGTCCTGTTTTCCAAGTGCCAGTTTTCCTGGGAATGAAGCTTTTCTAAATAAGAAACGAACACGGTTGGTTGTTTGCTATCACTGCATCCCACCCCATTCCTGCTTGTGCAGTTCTTCAAGGCGGAGGTCTCCAACCTTGGCAACATTACGCCTGGCGGACTGGCTGGGGAATTCTGGGAGTTGGAGTCTGCCAGGCTTAAAGTTGCCAAGGTTGGAGACCTCTGCTTCAAGGAATTGTCGGTAGGGCAATGACAGGATCAGAGCAATGACTCTATGCCCAGGTGTGTGTGTGTGTGTGTGTGTGTGTCTAGTTTCATTTGCCCAGGGGACGTGCCAGGAACTGCCACATGACCCGGATTCCAGTCTATTGCCATCACAACGGCTTCCCTGAGAACAATACAGCCAGTCAGCTTCTATTATTTCCTACTGAGCATCCTGATTTTAGAGAATTCCAGGGGCCTTCATTATGAGCCTCCCAACACAAAACAGAAAAGATTTTTGCCTTTGAAAACACGATCCCTTTAAAAAGAACACACTGAGGGTAGCAAGAGCAGTAGAGACATCCCAACCTCCATTATTTATCAGGCTTAGTCCGCTGGGTAATTCCAGTTTATTTTAAGAAACGACCCTTTTCTTCCATTGGATGGAAGCAGCAGCTAATCTCCCACGTTCATTCAATGGCTGCATGCAAACTGTCCTGTTCTCTTGACGTCTCTCTGGACTCAGGGGTCTGCTTTAAAGGTCCTTAAATAGGCCAAAGGAACCGTGGCACATGGGCTGGGGCCTCGAGGAAATCTCAAAACGCATCACCTTCTACCCAATGTTGACCCAACTGCCCCACTCCCTCCCCAGGGATGGCTTCTGTGGGAAAGGGGCCCAAGAATGTCGAGTACAACAAAATGTACCCCCAAACAGCAGCAAGGAATAAGGGGGAGGGGAACCCCAGGGCTCCCAAGTGTGTGGAACTGCTGTAGGGCGAGAGAACCTTTCAGCCTCTTAACCCCTCAGGAGGTCACCTCCAACCAGAGCCTTCATCAGCCACTTTGGTGTTCCATCAGCCAGCCAGTCCAAGCAAAGGACCACAGCTACTCTGCAAGTTGTGGATAACCGTCAATGGGAAAAGCCCTAACTTGGGCAGAAACACAGATAACATCCACCTTGGGCTCAAGCCGAAAGTTCAAAAGATGGAAAGGATACTGCATCAGAACACTAATCTAATCTCTAAACTCTAAAAACTCTAACACTAAACTCTAATCGGAACCCTTGGAAGATACTCTTCACAGATCTCTGCATGCAGGCAGAACAGGGAGTACTCTTGTAATAGACAGGTGTGCACAGGTGTGCCAAGAGTTCAAACATGAGTTACACCAACTCCAAAACAAGAAGAGACCAATGCAGAAAGCGTCATATTTTCCTCAACCTCTTCCCACAACCCACTGCATTCTAAAATGGGAATGACTTACACATACATTGATGTGAAATTATACGAAACGTAAAGTTTAGAAATGTATAAACTGGTATGTGGCATTAGAGTTTGCTAACTGATAATATTATGCATCATTTCCTCATTTTACTTTCCTGGGAGTCGTTCAGATTCTTTTTGTTAAACTTCTGTCCTAATTTCTATGTCACAGTTGAAACAGCAGCATCCCAAGATAGATAGAAAACAAGCAAGGAAAGAGCTTTGGGAAGTCCGAAACAAAAGCAACAGCCAGCCATCACGCCTGCTTTTCATGCTAATTATTTACTTAATACCAATGCCTCTGCGTAATTAAAAGGAACAACCTGCATAGCTGTGACCATAACCTCCTACAGACAAATCCCTTGGCCCTACAGAGATGCCTTCAGAAGGATAGTTCTCCACAAGGATGCAGAGCTGCATCCTCCCAAATAAGGCCCACGTGTCCAAGGCTACACAAAGGAAGTCCCAAGGGGCTCGTGACCCCTTTCAGACATGTCCTACAGCGCCCAAAGCCAAGACATTTACTACTCTGTGGTACAGTTCTGATCAGCCAGAAGACAGGCACCAGCCCTTCCCTAGCTGCCCAAGACAAGGAACAGGAGCTGGCATGGCTTTCTCTCCCACCGTGCCGGTAGTTTCCAGGGAGAAGCATTTCCTGGAGGCGCCTTCTGCAAAGACATAACGGAGGCAGCCGAGGTGCGAGAGGAAAGGACAAGGCCGGCTCCTCAGGCATCCTTACCCTTCAGCGGCCACCTCGGGTTCAGCTTCTGTGGCCTGCCAAGCGCCCCCCCGCCCCGCCCCCCACAACAACAGGGCACCACAAGCACAAGACAAACTCACAAGCACTTACCCGGCTCACAGGCCTCCATCTGACTCTGGTCAAAGGTTTAAGAGCACCGAAAGGCAGGAGATAATAGAGAATAGTCAGAGGCCAAGAACGAAGTTTCAGAGCGGGCCTAGACATACAGCTCAGCTGGCCCAACCTCCGCCTCAGGGCCAGCTGGGGAAATTGCAACCTGTGGGATTACAGACACACAAGATGGTCAGCCAACCTGGTGTCTCTTCTGCCCCGAGGCTTTCCCCCAAAACAGGGGGCCTCCCATCAGAAACAAAGCTGCCCTAACCCCAGCAAAGCAGAGCAGCCCAATTCGCCACGATTTAGACCAGGGCTGTCAAACTCGCGAGCCGCAGGCCAGATGCGTCACGTGCTGCCCACGCCCGGTTTAGCGAAGGGGGGAAAGTCCCGATACGTCATGTGACGCCGCCGTGACGCCGTGTGAGTTTGACATCCCTGATTCAGACGGTTTTGCCCCCAAGGAAGCTCCCATAGAGTCCAGAAGCAGGAAGCAGTACTGGGTGAGAAAGATAATAGATGCCCCTGCAAACATATCCCACGAGGGCAGTTTTACCGGCCGTCGGCAGCAAAAGCAGAGCTGCGAGACTGTACAGGAAGTGGGCAAATCCTGCTTCCTGGGGGATTTCGCCTCCTCTGCTGCAGGATGAAGTCAAAGCCTCTTTCCCTGTCCTTTTTAAAGAACTGGCATTCCTGCTGGCCTTTGCAGGCAATAATGGGGGGATCCTCTGTAGAACGAGAGGATGGATACTGGTCTGAGAGTTTGTCTCCTTCCACCTGAAGAGCTGAAAACCTCCCTGGGATATCCTGCCAGTTGCCAGCACTATAAAGAATCGGGTTGCAGCTAGATCTGCATTAGGACCAGGTGGGTCCCCTAAAACCCACCAGGAAACCGGCAAGAATCAGGTATCCACCTCCTCTCAGCAGGCAACAAGTTCCAACAGGAAAAAAAAAAGGAAGGGGGGTATTAAGTCATCCTGCTCTAAACCAGGAAAGGAGTTTAAAACCCTGATTCACCAGGGCTCCTAAAACATCTGACCTCATAACAAAAAGGGACAAAGACTGGGTTAACCTTAAACTGGCCAAAACAAAGAGCACCACTAGCAAATTCCACCCAGCTATTCATTTTTATTTTATCTGGAAAGACCGAATTCACTCTTCCCCTAGCATCTATTACTGATTAGAAGCAAAGCTGGCTGTGGACTTGCATGTCAAGCCTCAGTGGCCGGCCCTGTTGCCCACCTAGGGCAGGTGTGCAAAGAGCAAACTCTCCTCATGAAAAAAAAAAAAAAAAAAGACTAACTCCTTTGGGAGAAAAAACTTCTGGAAAGTGAAGCAGGGAAGAAGGACTAGAAGCCTCTATTAGCTGGCACCCCTGAGGACTCCAGCACTCTCCCCAGCCCAGAGGGGCCTGCTGTGCTTCAGCCAACAAAGAGAAAGGAGGCGAACAGGGGCCTCCTGCATGCTGCTCCTTCCCCACCCCCACCCCCACCCCACCCCTCCTCCAAAGCTAGCCTGACGGAGACAATGGCAGGAGCTGAGAGGCATCAGGCTGCTCGCTCTCTCGCTTCCTGGCTCCGTCTTCCCCCTTTCACTGCAGACAATCACAGCCAATCCCCGCCGAGTGTCGGCTTGAGAGCTGCCTGAAAAAGAACCCGGGGCTCTCCAGGCAGGCAGGGCCTCCTTTCCCAAAGACCCCCCCCCCTCGATCCCCAGGTGAGGCCCAGCCCCTCTTGTCGTCGTCCCCCCCAAAGGGCCTGACAGACCTGTGACGCCCCTCTTTCCTGGGCCAATCGGTTAGGCCAAAGGAAGGCTTGGTGGGCACCTGCCAGTCCCCTCTCCCTCCCCCCCTCCTCGCAAAGCCAGAGACGCCAGACCGTACCTGAAACGGGCTTTCCTATTTGGGGTGCTCCCAGCTGGGGCCGGGCTTTCCAGCTGTGGGTGCCGCTCCCCGGCACAGCAGCAGCTCCCGCCACCGTTTCCTGAGCGCAGCCTCCGGACATGGATTTTAACTTTGTGGAGGTTGCAGCAAGAGGGAGGAGGGTTAGGTAAAGCTTTGCAGCATCTCACCATTTCCCTGAGTGCAGCTCTGGTCCCTGCAAGGCGCTTGACTGACACATCCTGGGGCTGTCAGGCTGAGACGTAGTTCGTCTCTCTCTCTCTCTCTCTCTCTCTTGCTTCTTTCCCCCCCTGGCTCCAGCAGCAGCAGCAGCGGGAAAGGAGGAGGAGGCAAGGAGGAAGCGCAGTCACGGCTCCCAAGTTCTCCTGCAGGTATATCCTCCGACTGGCCCTGCCTCTCGCTCTTAGGAGGGTCTCAGCTAGTGCAAACAAACAGGCACCGTATCACATCCTTCTGCAGAGACAAAGCAAAGGCTCCTCTCACCGCTCCCCCCCTCCGCCCACACACACACACACACTGGAGGCCCCGCTTCAGCCAGGGGCTGCCATGGGAGCCGCCGTGCCGCTTCTCGGAAGAGCCTGGAGCATCAGTGGAAGATCAGGAGGAGCCGCTCGGCCGGCCAGCCGCAGGCATTTCTCCCCAAAGCCAGGCTGGAGGCGAGTGAGCCTGGTTCTCACCTCAACTCTGCAGTACTGCAGTAATGACGGCCTGGATGGTTCTGGGCAGGCGTGCCAGACCCGGCAACGCATGCAGCATTCTCAGGGCCAAAGAAGCTCCCCTTGCCCAGCCGAGGCCGGCTGGAGACCAGGCAGGCAGCAGGGAGGGCACTGGGAAGCCCACCTGGCCCACCTGGCCCAGAGAACCATCCTCTCCGCAAACATGTCCCAGCCACAGAATGAACCAGAATCGGCAGCTTATCGATAAGCAAGCAGTGCAGGCAGCAGCTCAACAGGTTTATCGGTGGGACCATCGTCTCCTAGAGACGGCCTAAGTCATGCCAGGGATTTGAGCTGGTGCCCACTAGGGGACCAGAAACGACACCAGGAGCCCGATGGATAAAGGACCTCCGTCGCTCTCCAAAAAGCCAAGGCTGAGTTTCGGGGATGAAAACAGCGGGTTGGTTTCTGGTCGCCCAATATGGGACGTGTCTGTTTCTGGAAGGGAGGGCGGAGAAGAAACCCTTCCTCCTTCAATACAGTCAACCGGGCACATACAGGTGATCCTCGGCTTATGGCCACGATTTCTGTTGCTAAGTGAGACGGTTGTTCAGGAAGTTCTGCCCCCATTTTATAAAGCTTTCCTGCCACAATTGCTAAGGGAGTCACTGCAGTCATTAAGTGAGCAACACGGCTGTTAAGTGAACCTGGCTTCCCTACTGCTTGTCAGAAGGTCGCAAAAAAAGGGGTGAGTCCGGGAGGTTGCAGCCATCTGGATTTTGATCACAAGGCCATAGGGGACGCCGCAGCATTCGTCAGTATGAAAAATGGTGACAAGTCCCTTCCATCATTGTAACTTTGAACAGTCACTAAACGAATGATTCTAAGTCGAGGATCTATGCCCATATCCATTCTCAAATATTCCTTCCAGATCCAAACACAAATTTCAGCAGATCTCCCGCTTCTATCAGTCTCCTTATGTGACGTGGACAGCAGCCCCACCAAGAGATGGCTGGGCAGGGGGAGGAAACCTGGAAGGGCTTTTCCCTCTGGCATCCCAGGCACCCTGGAGCTCCTATCTTGGGGGGCCTCTTCGGTCCTCTAACTCTCCCTCTCTCTCTCAGAAGCTGACCTCCATATTTGCTCCACAAAGCAAAGCCAGTGAGACATTTCGGTTTGGAGGGCCAAAAACTCATTTCCTGCGTCTTCTCCTGTCGTGGGCTATATCTAGCTCAGCATTTCTCAACCACGGCAACTTGAAGATGGGTGGGACTTCAACTCCCAGAATTCCCCAGCCATCCCACTCCCCACTCCCAAGACTGTGCTTAACTGCAAACTGCGAAATTGTAACAGTGGTCCCTCTCCTTACAACTAATTCAAATCCTGAAGAAAGGAGGAACCAGGCCTGGGGTATGCGGGGAGTTGAACGTTCAGACATCTTAACTCCGCTAAGATTGAGAAACATGGGAAGAGATTAAGAACCCCTCTCTTCCTCTACCTCACAGATTATTTGAGAAAGAGATTTTTTTAGAAAAAGGAATACACATACTCATAAAGTTCTATTTACATATGTATTCTGTTATTAATTATGAGGTCCTTGACTATGTTTTCTTTTGCTTTACATTTGCAAATTCAGAACAGGCAAGGGTAAATTTGGGGTTTTGTTGGCACTGGGGATTTGAGCATTTTTCCCCCTCCAGGACGGATACACACACACACACACACACACACACACCTCTTTATTATTTTTACAAATGACTCAAAGGGGTGAACATATCCAAACACCTTCTTCCGCTTCCTATTTTCCCTACAACAACCCTGTGAGGCGGACTGGCCTGAGAGGAGTGACTGGCCCAGAGATACCCAGCAGGCAGCAGTCGTGGCTAACTAGAACTCACAATCTCCCGCTTTCTAGCCTGCTGCCTTAACCACTAGGCCAAACTGCCTCCTGAATTGCCTCCGGGTGGGGTAAATGTTGTTACCTTGCCTTTCTTCCAGAACGGGGGAGAGATAGCCGTCATTTTTTCCTCCTTATCAAAGGCACAATGGCTGAGTGGGGTTAAGCGTTTGAGGCCCAAGTACCCCATGATGCAGTGAGGTCTCATTCTTGCCCCAGCTCCCGTCTGCCTAGCGGTTCGACAGCATGTAAATGCGAGTAGCTAAATAGGTATCACTTTGGTGGGAAGGTAAAGCATTACGTGCGCCCTGGCCTATATTAGTCATGCTGTCCGTATGACCACGGAAATGTCTTTGGACAATGCTGACTCCCTCGGCTAAGAAATGGAGATGAGCATCGTGCCCTAGAGGCAGAAACCACTGGACAGGGGAAACCTGGGTGTGGGTGCACAATGTGCTCACTTGTGGTTAATTAAATACAGTTTATTCCATTTATTTCTGAGCTTTCAGAACAGAACCTCAAATAAAAGCACAGGGTTCATACAACCAATGTAAAAATAGGACTAGGTAGTTTATGGTTGAGGGTGGCAGCTACAGGCAGCAGCCTCCCATGATGAGATCAGGCTGTTCCCTTCCACTCCCAGTTTGAATTATACTTAGATCCTTCACACAGGAGTACCTAATTTCATCTAGAGTTCATTCTGATTGCTGTTTTGTTCTCCCAATTAAGGAGAAGTCCACATTTTCACATTCAAATGACTTCTGGCAATTTCCCCACCACCTTATATTCAGCCTAATAAACTATAATTAATTACCAGCTGAATGGTTTCATAGGAGCTACAGGGTCTCAGGGACTTAGAAATCAGATGCAGCAATTATCAGGTTGAACCTCACAAACCTGAGGTCCAGAAGGGAGAGTTCACCAAATTTATTTTTATCTTTCCTTCTGAGAATTGACATGATTCCAGAATTGGAGACTCAGGGGGAAAAAACAGAGAGAAATCCCTCTGCTGCCCAGGCTCATCATTACATCCTGTTGTCTTTCAAACTTATCTTGACATTGTGCGAGAATCCCATCCACCGGCTTGTGTAAGTCAGGACTCTGATTCTCTGACACCTATTTCTGTCCTTCTAAAATAAACTGATCACACTTTACTTTAGGCACACAGGAGGATTTTCCCCACTCTCCTCCGATCATTAGCACTTGGATTGCAGGGTGGATAAATCAGGATAATCAATTAGCTGAGCAGATTTTAATTATCCAAGTAAGCGATCTGCATGGAGGGAAAGGCTGAAGGGTTCTTAATAGGTAGATTACAAGCAGAATCATTCCCCAGAGAATGACGGGCTTCTTTTCAGATTCAGTTTGCAGAGTCTTGGTTGGTTAAGCCTAACTCATGCAAATCTGCACCCACAACCTGAGGCCATTCAGGCCTGAGACACATTATGCCACCCGTGGAAGGCGGCTTAGGAATTCAAAGCCTCCTTTCATACAAGCAAATAAACTTGGCATCTCAGGAAGGAGTTGGGTGCCGCTTTTCTTGGCCGGCAGGGCACTTATAAAACAGCAGCGTCTGTCACGTGAGGCAGAATACTTCACTTGTTGTTTTGCATCTTTCCCACTTTCCTTTTACCACAACTGGCTATTTCTCTTTATAAATCCTCCTCTTGGGACCGTCCCTCTTTCTTCTCCAGAAACGGTCACACGCTGCTCACCCTTGCCGAACAATAGAGACCGAAAGCCTGCCCCTCCCTCCCTCCCTCTGACTGGCTGCCACTCGGCTCACGCCATTTCCAAGAAACGGCCCTTTCCTTCCTCAGCAGAAGGGGGGGATTTCGTGCCCTGAAAGAATCAGTGGAAGGAGACATTTTTCAACTATTCTTCTTTAGTACTTTGCAACTCGGAAAATAAAATCAGAAAATAAAGTAAAGTAAAATAAATAAAAGTAAAATAAAAGTAAAATAAATAAAATAAATAAAAGTAAAATAAAATATAAAATAAAATAAAACGTTACTATTCCACCTCCAGAGTGCTGCATGGCAAGCAGAAGGCGCACGCTGGGAAGGAAGCATCTTCCTGAGGTGCTGCCCAAGAGGCCGCCGGCCCAAAGAAATGCCCTTTCAGCTTTCACAGTAACCCCCTGAAAACTTACTCCCTGGTTTCAGGGGTGTCTGCATGGGGTGCACAAGAAAAAAAAGGCAAGGTGGCACCCAGGAGGGTGCAACTGAAGCTACGAAGGCATTTTTTAATAGGCATTGCACAGCACCCTGCTTCCATCATTTAAAAGAATTAGGGTGGCCGTATTCTCCTCCCAAGCCCTCCCGCTTACTCAGTTGCAGCACCAGAGCATGGATGCCTCCTTCCAAAGACACAGCTCCCTGGATCCAAAGGTAGAAAGCCCTTGGTAGGATACCGGCTAGGCCGTCCTCGACAAGAACGTACATTTATGAACTTCTCCCCCGTTCCCAATGGGAAGAGAGGATCTTTGCCAATCCCAGGCTGCACAGGCATCCTTCCGGGTTATTCTGGCTTGAGATCGCCCCTTTCCTCACCAAGGCCTTTATCGAGGCCAGGCAGGTAAGGCTGGTCCACCCTGAGGAGACACGCCGGATCAAGGTTAAAAGAACCCTGTTGCGTTGTCTACTTTTCAAGGCAGACACAAACTCTGATCCTCCTCTAACTGGAACCACAACATTGCCCGATGCACCTGGACATTATCTCAGGCTTCCCTATTCGAACCCTCCAAGGTAAAAATTTGCATTTACAATTGAGAGAAAAAGTAAGTCAGCAGGAGAGTGATTTTGCCATACCCGTGACTCATCGTGAGGACAGTGAGGAGGACGAGGATGAAGAGGAGTGTGGGAGACCCAGAGAGGCCTCCCAAAAGAAAGGTCTTTCTGGGATCCCCGGTCCTGGTGAAGTGCAGCCTC